CTTCCCAGAAACCACTTCCCAGAAACCACTTCCCAGAAACCACTTCCTAGCCTCGGGAGACCATTTCACCCGCGTTCCGAAACAAGACGAATCCAGGGTCCGAAACGAGACGAATCCAGGTTCCGAAACGAGACGAATCCAGGTTCCGAAACGAGGCGTCGGCCTTCTGTTCTTCATCATTGCCTGCATGTTGAATGACTTGGATCGAAAACAAGACCTCGAGGCTTGGCGGTCAAGCGTAGAAGCTGAGCGACAGGTTACCACTCCGAAGAACCACACGACCCATGACCCACGGAGGCCGCATCCAAATTCCTCAACCGTTCTCGGAGAACACCACTTCCTCCACCCATCTCATTGGGGATTTTCTCCATATGTGTTTGGAGCCAACGGGCTAACACCCCACGGCGGACTGGTCCAACCACCTCACCTTGCGAGCTGCTGGCGCGACCTTGGAGGTCAAGAAGGGAAAACGCTGAAACGGTGGTCAAGAGAGGAGCGTCTGCCAAAACGTACTGTCAAGTAGAGGACATGATTCAGCAAGGTTATTGCTTGCTTGATCTTTGAGGGGGGCCTATTGCTTCTGCAGATTTTAGCCACAATGTCAACATAGCTGTTCAAACATATCCAAGAACTGCGGAAATATGGTTATCGCTTTAGAGGGTTGGCCTGTCGCTTTTGCAGGGTTGTGCGCCCAATTCCTGAAATTCACGACCACTCTATACCAAGTTTGTCATTGCACGTTTGGGCGGTGAAGTTTGAACCCAGCGGACACGAATATATATATATATATTTATATATGATTGAAAGATATTGAAAGAGAAAGCAAAAAAGGAAAAGAAAACATCCCAAAACAGCCAGGGGTTCACTGCCACCCTCTGAGAAGGTGAGGACGGAGACACTGTTCTGTAGGTTTGGAGGGTCCAGTTAGTTTTGTTTGTTTCCTTCTTTCGAAGGTCTGAGGGTCCGGTGTTTTCTGAACCCAAACAAAGAGGGCTGAAGCCCTCCAGCCCGGGCGGTTCTGAGTTGGACCCTCGTCGACATGGCCGTGGAATCAGAGGATGGCCCTCTGAGAAACCCATCGGGTCTACCGGGAGGGTACCGGTAGGCCCGCCTCCATGGAGGTGGCCTACCATGGCGGCTTACGGACGGCTCAAAGATGGAGGAAAGGAAAACAGCACCAGGACCTCTAGATCAGATCAAGCAGGATAAAAACCAAGGATGATCTGTTTGTTCTCGGTGTTTGATGTTCCAAAACCAAGCTTGGAAGACCTGGAACACCAATCTGTCGCCGCTGGAGTCGCGACTCATGTGCCGAAAGCACCCATCAAAAGAGCGGAACCTCTGAGAAGTCCTCTTTTTCCGAGGGAAAAAAGGTCGAAATGTGAGGAGTGAGGGCCGCAAAAAGTCCGAAGAAGGCTACACCCCTGAACCGGAAAGACAATTCCCTCTACAAACAGGGGGGTTGTCCACTTCCATATTTGTTTGGAGAGCCAAGAATTTCACAGATTGATTCATCACACCGGGGCGTCCCAAATATTTTGGGGCGTCTATCAGGAGACTCAGTAAAACGATTTTACGCATTGCGATGGGGAAGTTGACTTGGGACGGGCACCCTGAAAGATGGCACAGATAGAAAGATTTGCTCATACAGCCTTAGGTCAAACAGAAGAGTAGGGCACCAAAATGCAATGGAAGATATTGGTCAACATTTCGACCGTACCGCGTACAAAAGGCAAGCGTCTCCTTGCTGTAGGATTTGCAAATCCCGCAAAACACATGGACCTCAGAATGTAGTGTGGGGACTCCATATTGAAATTAAATATGTCTATTTTTAATTATGTTTAGTTCATTTCTTTCAAATGTGTCTGTTCATTTCTTCAATTGTCCTTCGAAAACGTGAAATTAATGATTTCAGAGTGAAAAAAACGTGACTTAAGAGTGAAAAAAGAGTGATTTAGGAGTGAAAAAAGAGTGATTTGAGAGTGAAAAAAGAGTGATGTCCTGGCATTCTATGTTTATTTTCCTGCACAGGCGCGGTGTTTTATGGCCAACATGTATATACCAAAAATATATTTCCAGGAAGTTGTTTTTTCCCGAATCGACGAGAAGTCAGTCTTAGTTTCGGGCCGTCGTTATAAAAGGTATGATAAGACCATTTGGCAGAACCTACCAAACACCCACGCAGATTTCAGCCGTTGAGTTTCCGAACCAGCAAAGCGGACAGAACGGTGACGGAGTGCCATCGTGAAGGGGCACGGGCACTGGGGCTGGCGAGGCGTGGCGTGGCACGAAACACACCGCCACCGAGAGTGGGGTCACAATCATGTTAAGAACAGGGCCCAATGAACCGTGGAACTTGGAACTGAAATACATCAACTTAACAATCTTAACATCAAAAAAGAGTGCCTTGCTCCTCCCAAGTCTCAGAGATATCTCAAGTCTTTTTGGAGGGCCCTACCTGATCCTACCTCCGACATGGTTCCCAAACTGGCAGTTCTCCCATGTTCGTCCTCGCCCTCTTCAGGATGGTGACCTTGAGTCCAACTGCCCATCCGCCCTGCGGGGGAATGTGAAGGAACTGACCCCCCAAGACAAGGAATCGACCTGTGCGGGGGAGGTCCACTTGATTCACTTAAGCATGGTGATCAAACCTCTCAAGTCACCAGGAGGCCCATGGATGCAGGCCAATTGCGAAAGTTCTGCACTCACAGTGGCATTGGCATACATTGGCACCCGTCATTTGGGTGAAGAAAAGAACTGTTTGATGGTTATGGTTCTCAGGAAGTCTGAAAGTCACCCCCCACAAAAAGTAAAAACAATTGCACTTCGTTGGGCTCTACGATGGTGCGCTGGCGTGCTACAATTCTTCAGGCTCATCATATGTGACGGTGAACTCAGGCCCTTCAGGGACGTTGGAGCAGGACTTTGAAGACGGCGCAACAGTGGAGGTGAACGGAAGGGCAAATGACGGATTTTGATTACACGCATTGCACTGGGTCTAACAAGTTGAACTTGGAACCGCGTGTTGGCGGCTGTGCAAGGCAGGAAATCCCACCCAGAAGTGCGCCGCTCGGCGATCCATCCAAACCATGTCATGGGGTGTCCTCCAGACCAGCCATCGTGACCTTCGACGAACGCCACAACCCCAGGCGATCCAACGCCACTCCCAGCGGGCGTGTTCGGCCTGGAAACGCTCCAAGGTGCAACCGTCTTCGGCACCTGAGGCGGTCTCCGGGGAGCTCGGTGGCCCACGGGCACCGGAACAAAGAGGGGCCCGCACTGGTGGCCCCGTAGAGATCGGGCGAAAAGTAGGCATCCAATGGGCAAATGTTCCGAAGATGTTCAAAACATTTCAAGGTTATCAGTTGTGTTGGCTGTACCAAAGATCTTTAATTATATAGATTTAAGCAGTACAAGGAGAATGATGGAGCTCTGCGGCATGTTAACTGCATTGCTTGCTGTTGACAATGCCACCAACTTTAAGGCTCTGGTTCTTGGTAGCTGACCAATATTGGCAGTGGTTTCAGCCAAATCTTCAGGCATTATTTGTATCATTTGTTCCGCATCCAGCATCTTTGGGCGTGCCTGTTTCAGAAATATATAATCCTAGGCCCTAAGAACCAAGGGACAGATTTCTACCTCTTGGCCTTTCAATCGCTTAGAGTCCCAGCCCACAAATTAATTCTGCTGCCCCACTTCACCTACAATTTTTAATCAATCAAGATGATCAATTGTACCTCAAAAGTGCTAAAAAGGTGGACCTGGTCATTCCTGGTCCAAAGCTTCTGCCAGTCTTCTGGCAATTGTTCGACGCTGTCGTACCATCCATTTGGAGGAAAATAGTTATCACTGGAGGCGGGGATTCCTCCTCCAAGAATTGACTGGATCCGAACAAAACTCATTCTGTCCGTATCTAGCGTTCATCCCCAGTACCATCACGGATTTGGACGTTCAATCAGGGGAAGACCCGAAAGACTTCTACTAGCAGGACCTTCCAAGAGGTGTCTAGAGCGCCTCTGAGCGGTGATTGCTCAGTGTCCTCAAAACCACACCCGGCATCCGGACAGGTCCTGGTCGATGACTAGAAGTCAAGACATTGGTCTCTCGGCACGGCGGGGAATCGCATTCCACTCGAGCTCCCTTTCACCTGTTGTTCTTCTGAATCAGAGGGGCCTCACCTCCGATCTGGGAGCCCTCCCCTAGGGGTGCACCATCCGATCCGTCCAACGAGTTGGCTGCTGTTTTGGGGGTGATCACCACTATTAGATGACCGTGGCATGGTGCCCAAGACATTTGTCCGTGGGAATCTACTAAGTTCTTGTCATTATTTGGGCGTCTACTATATGTATATTATAATACACATACATATAACATATAATATATCATACAGTATATAGTATATATATATATAGATGTATATAGCTGCACCACCATCTACAATGGGTGTCCTGCCCCAGCCCACTACGGACAGGGATTTCCGGACACCCAGGGAGACCTGGATGCTGGTATACAGTCTACGGGACGCACTCCAGCCCAACAGCCTTTTCCGGTCGCAGGCTACCACAGTCTGAGCATTTTCTCAGTGCGCGAAACGATGCAACTCCTTCAAAGCAATGGGTTTCAGTGGGACGTGCTCGGACGGTTTCAGTTGAGCCTCCTCTTCGCTTTCGTGCTGCATCTGGGTGTGTCTTAAACTGACGGCACATCACCACTGTTTGGTGTTGTGCTCCATCCAGGACTGCCGCAGACATTTGCTTTGGGCCGATGTACCCGGAAACCAGTTCACACCATTCCCAGAAAGGACCAATCAGAGTCAATCAGAGTCGGATATTACACTGGTATGAATGAAGCACACCTCAAGCCCCCTCAGACTAACATGAACTATAGGGACCTTTTTAGTCTCTGACGATTTCTTCCGAACAAACCCATGGCCGGCTCAGCTGATTCTCCAGCCGACCTGCAGGTGGTCGCCTCACTTCGGAAAGGCTTTGCCGAAGCGTTCATGGGCATGTCGTTCCAAGTCGTCTCGGTCGTCTGGGTGCGCCAGGGAGATGAGGCTGCGCGCTCGCTGCGGCAAGCTCTTGCCGAACAAGTTCACCTCAGTGCCCGGCCCGAAGGGACCGTCGGGGGGTGCGAGACGGACGACTACCACGACCCGAGGTACTAAATAGGGACCCAATTGTAGCCAGTTTGGGGATCTAAACGGCGAGGATCTTTGGCTTCCCCAGAACCGTTCATGGAAGGGAGAAGAATCATTGTGAAATCTAAGCATATCACAACATCGAAAACTGATTTGAAAAAGAGCACTGAGCACGAAATATCCAGAAACAAAATGAACCAAAATGATCCGTTCAATGAACTGTTCCCCGGAAATGAACGACATCGTGGTCAGGTCGGTTGACTGGTTGACTTGATCGCTCATGGCCTGTTACGTCCGATCTTGCTCCATCTCAGCAACATGAACTTGGCAGTTTTTGGTTGGGGGCAAAAGGCTCTTAAACTGGGGGCAGTCCAGTGGGCATTCGGGTGTCCAGTGGGCACTCGGGTGTCCAGTGTAAAACTTGTCCAGCAGTTGTTTCGGGAGGTGTTCATTCTTTCGGATCGACTCCGAAAGCAAACCCGAAGAGGCGTCCACGTGCATCCCATGTGCATCTCCAAGACACTTCTGAAAAGCCAGCTGATCCAGGTCACCAGTTTGCTTGGCACATTTGAGAAGGGTCAACCTATAATATGCCTCAAATTATATCAAATTTATTCAACACAATTTGTCCATTGCTTTTTTGTCCTTCATGGCGTTCCTACGTGTTCCTCCGCTGTTTCTCACGTAAAAGTTTCATTGGACGTTCTCTGGCCACAGCAAAAATAGTGGTCTCCTCCCGAGCGAAACCGACCGAGCTCCGAACCGAACGTCGGGACGTTTCAGGGTGACCGGTGACCAGTCTGACTAGAGATCCATGGGACTGGACGATGGTAGAGATCGAATCCGGATCCGCATGGGCTCGTTGGTTGAAATGACTTTTTGGTGAATCAATGTATATACCAGGACCTTCCAAGAGGTGTCCAATGGACTACCCCACACCTATAGGCTCCAGACAGGGCACCCCTTGGAAGGTGCTGGTATAGGTCAATGTTCCAGTCCCATGGAGTGATGGGGGGATGAGAGAATCCCTTTGTAGAAACTCGGGTGACAGGGACTTCTCGGCGTTGCACGTGGAGCTCGAGCCCCGTTGCCCTGTTGCCCATGTCCAAGTGAGATACCTGCAAGCCCCCAGCGGCGTGATGTCCAAGACTCCTACACTCCTGGACCATCCATTCTGGGAGTCACGGAGTCCCGGCTGGAGAGAGATAAACAGTATTTATATATATATATATATTCAGAATCGCCGAGCTGGGACACCCATTGTGGATGGTGGATGGTATATCAGATGTATACATCATACTGAATCATACCCTAAGAATGATTCCTTGCAAACATCAATCATCAATACCATTCAATACCCTTGGATGGTCTCCTACATCAAATCACATGTAAAGAGATCATACTCTAAGAATCCGTGCCCAGACGAAGCTGGAAAGGGTGAGACGTGTTTCTTCGAGTCCAGACCTGCTCCCACCCCTGCGGAGGGTCCGGTGATATCATGAAAAACATGGACCTCTCCACAACTAGTGTATAGCTACTAATTACTCGTCTATTGCGAACCCCCGATTTTTCGGGAAGATGCTGGAGCATTACGTATATCCAAACCCAGGAACCCTTCGACCCGACTATAGATACAACTGCTGGATGGTCCAGGACCAACAACCTTCCACCTTGGAACCCTTCGACCCGCCCATTGCGTGCCGCCCACATCTTGCGCCCGGTGGCAGAACCATACTCCGTCACCACCCATTGGACCTGCGCCCTGGATCAAGTGGGCCAAAAGAAAGAAACGAGTGGACTCCGATTTGGACACGTCAAGCAGGTCCAAGCACATTCAAGCAGCCATGAGGGGGGTGGCTTTTGGAACACATGTGAGCTCTCCCCATCAACCACTTCTAGAACCTAGCCTAGAACACACAGTCACTCCGAGCCCTGCAAGCTTGCAGGCCTCGGGTTTCTCCACTTCCAGTCCCAGGCGCTCCGTTGACACGCAGGTGGGACATGGGTGTATATTTCAAGAGGGAGACCCCCAACCAATGGATTTTGGTCTATGTTCCGTCTTCCAGCGGGGTCGAACTGGGCGGTCTCCCTAGAATACACGGCGACCTGATCAGCTTGGGGTGGCTCGCAAACGAACGAGCAATGCTTGCGGTTCCGGGCGTGCTCCGCGGGCCTGGAACGCTCGGATGATGCCCACATCACCAGCACCACCCAATTGGGAGGTGTTCGGATGGTTCTTGAAGGATCTACCAGCGCCCCCTGGGCGCTAATATATATATATATATGTATAAGAACACCCCTCAATTAGGACCTCCCTTGGCTACTGTCCAAGACATGCAAATTCGAAGAAATGCAGCACCCAACTACCAAATTTAAAGAAGACAGCACCGAACCAATCAAAGTTGAAGAGACTAAGAACTACGACCTATATAATCTATGTAGCCATCGTAGTCCGCTGGGTCCAAACATGTCCAAACAAGAAGTACCACAACTCGTCCTTTTCACTTCTTCTTCCGCGACGGCCTCGTAGTGACCACTGCCGCTCCCTCATTCAGCTGTGGGACGATGCGGGGGACTCCCTTGTGCGTCCGCGAAGGGAAGGCCAAAATGCCCTTTCCTGAGGATCGCCACCAGGGCGCGCAGCCGGACACCCCGTCCGTTTCGGGTTTAACAACGGCGACCGAGGACCGTACCCGGCCGTCCAGTCTGACTGTGAGGGGTGTTTCGGTGAAGGAACGGCGCCTCGTGTGGGTGCGATGTGGTGCGGGGATGCAGGTGACCGACTCAAGTTGAGCAAGATGTCCAAAGTGAGTCCCCTTAATTGGAAGAAGGGAAGGACTCTGTGCCACAGTCGAGCAGAAAAATGCAAAATCACAGCTTCGGGTGGTCGTGGGGCTGGTTTTTTCTTTGAAAGGCAAAAACACAGCTGTGGGCTGCGAAATTGCGCTTTTGCCTTTCAAACAAAAGAAACAGCCCCACGACCACCCGAAACTGTGATTTTGCCTTTCTCTGCTCGACCGTGGCGAATCCCTCGTAGCACGGAATCACAGAGTCCTCCTTACAAGCCCTCGTAGCACAGAATCCTGCCTCGTGACACAGACTTTATCATTTTTTTCCTCCTCTCTGTCTGCTGGCCAATTAGCAAAGGTGGAGAAGTCTGTGTCACGAGGACTTTAAGACGGAGTCTGTGCTATGAGGGCTTTGAAGAGAGAAGGACTCTGCGCTACAAGGCCCTTAAGACGGATTCTGGGCAACCTTTTTCCCAATTGAGGTGAAAAGACACCGGTGCCGACGAACTCCGACGAACTCACTGAAAAATATTGAAACAACTCAAGAACGGCACATTCTTGTCGAAATCCTACTGCTATTGGACGTGGATTTTGTACACGACCATCCAGTTTTGAGCATAGTTCATGGTGTTTTCATGAGATTTGTCGCCAATTTCAGGTAACCACACAGTCGGATTTCATAATATGTTCTCACAAAATGTTGATTTCTGACAAACTCCGGCGAACTCCTGCGAACTTCTGTCTTTTTGCAAGTCCCACTTAAACTTGGCAAATCACGGGCATTGACATCTTATACCAACGATTTTCCTGAACCTTTGGATGTCACCTGGTTTCTTTCTCTGCACTTGTTTGTGAGAATCATTTAAGGCTTAAATCTTAAAACATGGTGGCCTGTCTTTCCAACATGCGCTTTTGCGCATGTTTGAGGACTTTGATTACATGTGTACCGGTTGGATTGAAAGGGCTGATTTAAAAGGAGCATGTTTTTCGGTACATTGCACTCTGGGGGAGGTTCATTTTTGTGGCCTTATCAGTAGTTTGTGTGCGTTGACTTCATTGCGGCTGAACGTCCTTTTGGTGCTGGTATTGTCTTTCGGGAACCTGATTTCCCAAAATGACTAGCAAAAAACATGGGTACACATCTTTGCGCCTGGAAACACCTCTGTTTCCTGCGAACTACCCAGTTCACGAAAAAACTCAGACGTGGATTGTTTGGCCTGGAAACCATCCCTGGCGCCTGGCGCTGGTGGAAGTACTTGACGGGTGTTTGTTGGAGTTTAATGGAAGGAGTCAGACTGGGTCCGAAGGACGGCAGTCTAAGTATATTGAGTACGGTTTTTGCAGCACGGACCGACTAAAGTGAAGTCTTGCGACGCAAAACTTAACCAGTCCCCTGGTTGCACGACATGGAATTCGAATGGAATCAACCCCGCCGTTGAAACGCTTCGCTTCAGCTCCGGAGCCAAAGCCTGGGTCGGAAGGAACGCCCTCACCGCTTCTCGTTCGGTGAATATGGCCAGTGAAGAGAATTGTGCATATGGGCGCCAAGTTCGTGGCATGTACATGTATGGACTTTGGATTCATATCGGTTTGATCTATGAAGAGGCTTTGCAATCGCATCAATATTGGGTTTGGGTGAAGCCTTACTAATTTACTAACTACCAAAACTCGACTGTCGACATGGAATCAGTCTGGTCACTTTTACCCCCTTGTCTACGAAACCTTGATCTGAAGTGAGCTGCACAAGTGACGAGACTGGAGCAACCCAAATCCATATCATGAACCGGTTTTCTCCAGCTCATGAGCTTGCCTGCATCGGCTTTCTCGTTCTCTGCGGGCTTGTCCTTCTTCGCAACAGCCTCCAGGAAGGGTTCCAAATTAATTCGGAAAAGAACTTTTGGAACCGAAAGTTAGCGAACGTCAAGAACCAACATCTGTTAGGAACCGAATGTAAACAACCGTCCATTTTCCAAACACAACCGAACCGAACAGACAAACGAACCGTTCCGCTCTTTTCCGAGGTCAACCAGCAAAGCGCTGTGTGACGTTTCTCTCAGACTGTCCAGGGTCTTGGAGTTTCAGAGCAGCAGTCCCCCCCGGCTTCAAGGGCATTCATAAAATGATTTCCTTTCCTTTTCCTGTTCTTTTCCTTTTCGTTGCTTTCCTTTCCAATAAGCTTTTACACGGCATGGAAAAAGCATAATCACAAATTGCACTCCTACCTGTCCATTTCCATGTCCGTTTCCTTTCCTTTGCTTTCCCTGACATTGTCCTTTCCTTTCCTTGTCCTTTTCCTTTCCTTTCCTTTCCAATATGCTTTTTAGACTGCCTGGAAAAAAGCATATTCACGACAAATTGCATACCTTACCTGTCCTTGTCCTTTTCCTTTGCTTTGCTTTCCTGTCCTTCCTTTTCCTTTTGGTTGTTTTCCTTTCCAATATGCTTTTTGGAAGGCCTGGAATGCGTATATTCACAGAAGTGTATTCCTTCCCCTTGCTTTTCCTTTTCTATTCCTTTTTTGTCCCCTTCCTTTTCTTTCCTTTCCTTAAAACAATTGATTTCCTTTCCTGTCCTTTCCTTTTGCTTGCCCTTTTTCTCCTGTCCTGTCCTGTCTTGTCTATAGTCTAGTCTTGTCTTGTCTCTTTATCATTGCCTTTCTTTTCTTTACCATTGCGTAACTTATGCCTCACAGAACCGAAACGAACCGTGAACCAAACCAAACGCCCATGAAAACATACTTCTACAATCAAACCGGACCGATTCGAAGTTTCCATTAGATTAAACATTCAAACCGATTCCAACCGAACCGAAACCGTACTGGCAACCTCGCGAAAACGGTGGAAACCCTCGCGCACGTCTGCGACGACTGCTTCAAACTCCTGACAAGCCCAAGAAGCACCTGACTCTCCTCTTAGTCAAACAACTGGCACTTTCAAGGGACCTGACCCAAAAGAACAGCATTCAAATACGCATCTTCACCCAGCGTGGACTACCATTCCTGGGACGTCCTCAGCCTCCATTGAATGGACTCTCGAACCCTGGTCCTGTCAGGTCTTCCATTGTTCCTGCCTCCTGCTTCAAGAGCATCTGCCTAGGTCTCTTCCTTGCGCTGGCAGTATACGGGCACACATGCGACGGCAACGTGGAACGAAATCGTGCCCATCTGATCGAACAAATGGTTAATTTAGTTCATGACTCTTCTCATTCCATGTTTGCTGGCAACAACTTGAATCTTGACTCTAGAGATTCGAGTACTTTAGGCCTTCTCAGCTTTGCTGCAGGAAGTGTGTTCACATTTCGAAAGCAGCTGAAGGTCTTAAAATGGCTTCCTCAGAACTTCTACGTGTTAAAGATGCCAGGAACAACAATACTCCAGACCCCAGTGTCTGGAACCCTTCTCAAGTAGCCAGAAAAAAGTCTTCATGAATCTTCTTCATGTTGTCCGTTCACTGGTGTTTTTTCTTTGGGAGCCAGCTCGTGTTCTAACATGGTTTCGTTCGGAATCTGGAACCCTTACGTCCGTGGCCTCTTCGAGGACCTCGAGCTTTGAGTCCACACACCATTCTCCTGATGAAACTTGGACCTTCCAGCCTGGCGCAGGTGGACGGAAGGTAGAGGTTGGAAGATTCTGAGCAGGAGCAGCCTGCAGCAGCAGAAAGGCAAAACAGCAACGCCGGCAACAGGCAGCAGCAGCAACCAGCAGGGAGTAGCAGCAACAGCAACAACCAAAGAGCAGCAGTGGAGTTGAAGGGAGGGGGAAATTAAATGTAATCATCGAAAGCAAGCGCTGGAGGCTTCCACCACCCTCAACATACTTTTGCTAAGCAACCCATCAATGTAAGCATCGACATCGCCCAATATGACCCACTGCCTTTGCGCGGCGGTGTCTTCGAGTCGGACTCGTTCTTGAAGAGCGTTTGTCCTGGAAAGCGAGGGGAGAGATCCGCGTCGAAGATGTTCAAAGAAAGCTTCTACATTGGAACGGGTGACAACTGATTGTGTTGTATCATCGCTGATTTTTCTTGAGACCACTTTCTCATGTCCAAGACCACGCGAACACGTAAACACGTACCGAGAGAATATTGAACAAATCATTGATGAGGGCGGGCTGCCATGAAGACCTGGGTCCTGCTCAGTAACCCAGAAACCCATCAACGATTTTTAAACTGCGTCTATGAAGGCAATGGCAAGTGGTTATGAGGGGTCTCAGACCTTATTGTTTGTCACTTACCCACGTTCCACCCTGCATGAGCCGGAAATAGAGACGAATCCAGCGAGTTGCTCAAGCAAGTTCAGTCAAACTCCCTCGCCTCCTCGCAGCTGAATGCGGCATGCTTTCTTGGCTTTCCAGGAAATCACGGAGCCTTCTTTGTTTTGCCATGCGTAGTCCTGACGAAAGGTAGCAGGCCCAAGGACTGCAAGCTAAAGGATTGCAGGACAGAGCAGGACAAGCAGCCCAGAGCTGGGAGACAAAGGTCAATGTCAAGGCAACCCAGAGCTGGGAGACAGATGTAAATTTAAAGGATTTCGAATCTGAGGTCGGCACTGCGAGGCGGACACAGCAGCCGAAACTGTGATTTTGCTTTTCTCTGCTCGACGGTTGCTCGGTGGTACTGGTCGTAGTCGTCGTCGTTGTCGTCGTCGTTGTAAAGACAAAAATCAAAATCGTCGTCGTCGTCGTCATTGTAAATTAAGACCAAAATCAAAATCACCGTTTCGGGTTGTCGTGGGGCTGCTTTTGTTACTTTGAAAGGCAAAAACACAGTTTCGCAGCCCAAAACTGTGTTTTTGCTTCGCAAAGAACAAAAACAGCCCCACGACCACCCAAAGCTGTGATTTTGCCTCTCTCTGTTCCCCGGTTGCTCGGTGGTAGTAGTAGTAGTAGTCGTCGTCGTCGTCGTAGTGGTGGTACTAATTATTTGTCGTTGCAGCTATTCTTACCATTATGCTATCCAATGCCCTCAAAATCGTCCTAACCCACCTCGCGCCTGACCTCGTAATTCGTGCCTGTTCACCTCGTTACCTCGGCTGGCGTCGCTATAATTTGCACCTCAACATTACTGGGTTCGGGCAGAGGAACAAAACCTCCCCATCATAGGTGTTTCACAAGTAGTTAGACACCATGCAGTGTCAACAAAGGCCACATTGACATGAAGATCTTAGACAGCTCGTTGTGCTTAGTTCCACCAAAAAGAATGGAGAAGCAACAGCACTCTATAAAATGGTACAAGTGTTATAGAAAAAAGTCTCTTGAATTGCCTGGCCGGTCTTGGTGAGTGTTGGCATTGGATGTGATGATCGCAAGATCGTCGTGCGCTCGGGCAGGGTCAATGAGCCGAGCAGTCTCGGTGAGTCCTCGGTGAGTCCTCGCGGTGCTCACCGTTCGTCGCACACCGCCTCCGGACGAGGTGTCCCTTTTTTTGACGCTTCTCCGGTCTGTCCAGCGGTACTTGCAACCTCCCAGAAGTCACAGGTCGCACGCTCGGGGCCGGAGGAGGTTCAGGAGGAAGGAGGAAGGAGTTGGGTGCACTCCAAACCACCTCGAGCGACCTGTTTTCCTCCTGGCCGTTTTGGGGGGTTCCGCTCAGAGACTCGGAACCGAACGGGAGTGGCCATCGGTGGAATTCATCCAGAGGGGAGAGGAAGGGAGGAGCTCTGGGCGCGCCGGCGCTGCCTACTTGAGACGAACAACCCCAACAGCGCTGAAAAAAGACATGAGAAGCACCCTTTCTGCCCCAGCATCCGTTCTGAGAAGCTGCTGCGCCCGTCAAGAAGTCCACCTGTTCGCGAAAGAGTGGATGGAAAAGGGCTTGGAGGAAACCATGCAAAGGTGCCCCAACGGCCCATAGCCTTCAAAGACCATTGAAAGAGTCTGGTTGACCTGGTTTGGGAGTCAAAAATCCGTCAAACTATGGTTGTTTGGTCATTGGGAGAGATCATTATAAATAGTAGGAAACCCAGTCTGGAATGGCCTAGCAGGCTGCGAGACAACAGTAGAATGCAGAATCCAGAATCCATGTTTTTGCCATGTTTTTCCTGAAGTTGTATAACTCACGCTCGTCACACCAATGGGTTAGCCAAGTCCAATGATCACCGCCGCTGGATGGGTTGTTGCTGTGAGCGTAACCAGAAGCAACATAGAATTAGTGTCCAACTCATCATGAGCCACCATGGAATGGAACATGCCTGAAGGTTCCCTTCTCAGCTCTTCGGCGTCAACACAGTTCAACTGAACAGTCTTCCAGTGTTTGAGACCAAATCACGGAGCTCTTCGACGAGACCTTTGGGCGCCACCTACCCCCCCAGGCAACTTTGGACCACCTGTTTCCTTGAACACATCCAAAAAAAGGGGGAAAAGTGGATTTCATGATAATTAGTTCGCAGAGACCCACTGGTCACCAAAAAACGGATGCGTCTCATCCACTAGGGCACCTTATGCGCCACGCCTGGCCACCAAAGCCTGAGTAGATCCGAAAGCCGATGGTCGAGCTGGCCGCTTGCCCCGTCATATCCATCTCGATGCAACTGTTGATGCCTGGGTGGCAGCAACAGTTGACCCCCGACCTGCACACCTGCCCCTGCGGGTCGAAAGTTTCTGGAAGCTTGTCTGGAAAGACCTCAGCAACCTGGGAATCTGCGCAGAAAGATCAGAAATAGACCTCCCATGGGTCTCCACAAGATGGAGTCGTTCTGAACACGGCCAGTGACATCTTCCGGATGTGACGTGAGCCACTGGTGACACTCAGGTCACCTCTGGCTGCTCTCTAACTACAAACCCAGTGCTTTGCCGGTTGGTGGACCATGAAGGTCTTTGGTTGGTGCAGTGCGCTGACCCTTGTTCATCGGATGCTGGTCCTAGATGGCGAATCCATGCGAATCCCAGGCGCAAAGGGTTGAATCCAAGGTGAAGATCGCCTCCTCTTTCAACATGGTCTCTATCTATCTGCAGGGCCTCCTCGTCAGGTGTGACAACGGCATTTGGGGGTCACCAGTGCAACTAGCACTAGTGTCACTTCATTCCAGCGCTACACCAACCAAACTTGACCGAAGTAAGCCCGGGACATCTCTTTCACCCCCAAAAAGACGCTTCTTCATGTCACCCCCACAGGACTTTCGCACCCCAGCAGCTGCCCTCCTCTTCCCCTCCTCAAAGTCTTTAGTCCACGTTGCCAATCATGGACTGCTGGGAAGCGATCACCTCCACGTTGTTCGTGTAGGCCACATCTTTCCTGACTGACACGAGGAGCGCAGAGCACGCCACACCAACACGAGGAGCCGCGTTAGTTCCACTGACTCAAGGGCAGTTCCGACCCAATGGGTGGAGGATACAGCGCTCCGGTTGTCATAAGGAAACTCGGTGGGTGAAGAACTAGCAGAACGACTAGCGTTCCGACTCGGTAAACCGGTCGTGAAGGCTGTTGAGCTCTGCTTGTCGTTGCTGACCCGATTCGGTTCTGGACCCGACTCGCCGTTTTGGGGGAAAGGGAAGGCCTGACACCAGGACCACCAGCGTCTAGACCAGGACCACCCAGTTCGGGTGGTTGCAAGGAAAATACATAGCTATCGGGCCGGGGCCTATCAAACCCGACGTGGTGCTGGAATGTTGCTGTTGCTGTTGCTGCTGTTGTTGTTCGGAGGATCTGGGTCTCTGGGCATCCGTTCTTTCGGCAAGAACTTCCTGATCTTCCCAGGGCCCTGCAGGCTGTTTTCCGACCCAAGCGGTGGTTTCTTCCAGGAAGTGTCTGGGTGCCCGACTACCTTGGATGGTCCAAGTGAGTACCAAGGTTGGATTTTCGTCACCTTCGTCCGGTGCGAAACCTGTTGAGACAGGGTCCCAAAACAGCCCAAAACAAACAAAAGTCGACGAAACTTCTCTGAGTTGCGGCCAGTTGTGACAACAAGATCAACCAAAGGCCCCAGCATGGCTGGTTTCAACTCACTTGAACAATGATTCAGTGCAGTGGGTTCAACGATGTTCAATTCATACATACCTGAAACCACCCAGCAGTCGACCATGAGGAACTCCCACGCTTAGGGTCTGTCCGTCCAGTGCCAAGCTTCAGGTTCACACTCAAGTTGTCGTTGACAAAGTCGTAGAGCTTCTGACTGCCTCGGCAGCAACGTGCAACGTTCACCTGCTCTTTGGGGAATCCGACCAATCAAGAATCCAACAGGCCCATCCTAGCAGTCACTAGCGGATTCAGCTTTTAAAAGAAATCGGTTCCAAGAACACCCGTCTGACCTCCACCGAACTGGAGTGCTCCTGGACCTTCCACCGAGGCCTTTTAAACCTGGCAAATCGACCGACCAGTCAGAAGAAAGCTCGACCAGGTGGCCACTCAGGAAGGCGCTAATGGTGCGGCCCCGATAGGTGGACTTCATGGAATTGTTGACGACGCCCGACTCGATCAAAGGCAACACACCATCCTCGGCTGCCGAACAAAGGTGCCCTTTCGGGCGGAAGGTGATACTGTGAGTTGGGTGGGCTGGGTGTGCTGGGAGGCCGAGAAAAGGGTTGAGTCTTTTCTGAACTCGGGTGCCAATATCCTATCCCCAATCTGAGATCAACCGGATACAGTCTCAGTGATGTCTATGGGTCTTACCAGAGCCACGACGTCATTTTCATAGAGCCGCTACAGCTACATCATCAGGATGATACCATGGACCAGTGGCACCCGGCCGGCCACTGACGTGGAGAGCACACGTTCGTATCACCAGGATGGAGCCAATAAGCACAGCCGTGGGTTCCTCTTTCCTTCTCTTGTTTGCGGGTGTTTTCACGCTGCCGCACGTGTTCGGGCTTTTGGATGTTTTGGGCATCAAGAAAAGCGTTCACCAATTTTACGACCCTTCCCAATCCGCCAACAAGAACTGTGAGGTACCAGGTTGCTTCCTTTGGGGGGCACACAGTAGCTTCTGCTGCATCCAGTTTCCAGAAGAGCACAGCCCGATTTGTTGGTCACCTGTGCTTCACAACTACCAAACTGGGTTTCCATTCGACACGGTTCTCGCAGGGATGAACTTCGAGAGGTTCCTCACCCTACTTGCTTTCGACGCCACAAAGAATTCCATTTTCCCCTCTCCACACTCAACCAGCGTCGCTAAACATCTCAGTGTGAATCCCCAGGTTTTTGTGGTTCGTCAACTGGGAGAGCGCTGCATCAGGGACGCTACCGATACCCATCCTCGGACGCCACGGACAAACGGGTTTAACTCACATCAGGCTTTCAAGAGGATGATACGACTTAAGCCTACTGCTTGTAGGTGGTTGCAGAAATTATTGTTGCAAAGCATCACGATTTATTATATTGAGATTTGACGTGTGACTCCTATGACTTATAGCATTATGGCTTTGAATGATGCGTATGTCTGGTCACAAAATCCCTGAACCGATGAAGACAATGATTTGAAGCCTGTTTTCGGGTCTTTTTGCCATCTGCCCCGGTCGCCTGCTGCCTACTTCTTTGGTCGCCCAAGAGGCTGCAGGGTGGCTCCGTCCGGGACCAAGTTGGCAATGTGTTGGCCAATACTCACCTCCTCTTTGGAAAGCTCCTGACCGTGGCACCATGAACCAGGAACCTGCAACCAAAATGCCGTTCGGGCCCTGGGGTAGAGGGTAGAGGTGGCCATCATCCACGCCCCCAGTATCCCCCAGTTGTGCCTTTGTCCTTCTTCGTCTGGCCAGTCCAGTCAACTCTCTTTTGAAAGAGGCCAAGCGAAGCACGAGAAGTCTGTTCTGGTCCCAGGGGTGATGGACAGCCCTTACATCTCCACAAGCACCTTCAGCTGAAACCTCCACAGGTCTCTCCAATTATGTGACCCTCCAAAAACCAACCCTCACCCATCACAGCACCCTGGGTCCATCCACGCACCCGAACAACGGACCAACCCATCGCCGTCCCGGGGGCTCCCACCGCCGCTCCTTGGTCTTGTGAATCCACAGGGGCCCGTCGTGGTGCAGCACGGCATCGAACTGCGAGAAGTGGATGATCCCATCTCCTTAGGCGCACAACAAGCCACGAGTCCTGGGGAGCGTGTCTCACTCAACGCATGAGACCGGGGTCTTCATCCCCGGTGAAGAGCACGGATCGATCCCCTCCCGGTGGCCCCGTCGTCATGACGTATCAATGACGGATCGGACGATCAACGAGGTCATTGGAGCTTCTGGGGATGAGTGGACTCCCATTGGGTCCCGGGACCGTGGATCATCCGATCTCCTCAGTTTCGGTGGTTTCATTCGGTTCGGTGGAACTCGGCCGAGAAGACGGCCGATGTCCTGAAGAGATGGGGCGTCCACTACCACCACCACCGAGGCTCTCGGGGGGTCTATGCCATTGGTCCTCTCAATCCACTAGACCCAGACCGTTTTCACTACAAACGTGTGGGCGCGGAACCGCGCGGAACCCCCGGAACCCTGCATGTGAGGTGTGCGTGCTCGTTTTCCCTCCCCGAAGTGACCATCTGTTATTTAAAAGAAAAAACAGCATGAAACCCATGACAACCATAACGGCAGACTCTTGATTCATGATTTTCTCCCCATTCATTTGGGATGGCAAAAACTCTTCATATTGCATCATATTGCAGGGTTCACCCAGAACCGGCGCACCCTTTCTTCGGCCTCTGCCGAAGCTCCATGCACGCGAGGCATCTGCGGGTTGATCAAAGCGACCAACGCCTAGAGTCCAACGCCATGTGTGGGAACGGCACAAATACTCTATGGACGTCTCCAAAATACGGTGCCTGCAGTCGCCAAACTCATGGATGAACATCATCAAACCCCCGCGGTACTGCCATGTACTGCCTGCAGGGTCTGTAGCTAGATGGGGTGTTGACCCCAAATATCAGCCACCAGCTCCAGCCCCTCCACCTCCAGCACCCTCCGCTCGGCCTTGGAGTGTTCCGCGGCCCCCCGCGCCCAATCCACGGAGGTGCCCAAGGTGCAGAAGCCGTGCGCGTCGGGCGGCGAGCAGTGCAGCAGCGCCACGTCCGGGCGCACCACGCGGCGGCGGAAGAGGTAGGGCAGGTCGCGGAGGTGGATGGGACTAGGAGTGGCTCGAGGTGTTCTAGGGCCAGAGGTGAGGTGTGGGTCTACGGTCCTGGTAGGTACAAGTAGGAGTCTGAGATGAATCTCAAAAAGTCTTCCACATTTTGGAGTGGAAAAGAACCAGGTGAAAGCTCTTCATTATGAGGGGGTTGAAAGAGCATCAAGAATCGAGAGTCTAGGTGGCGAAAACGCTCTGGTGCGAGGTGCGGCATGTTAGGTGTTGGGTGTTGGAATGGACGTGTGGGAGCATGTGGAGGCCTTGGGTTCATGGAAGGGTCATTGGATTCATTTATTTGGGGGGTTCCAAGGGGTGCAGTTGGTGGGAAGTCCTTCACTGTCCTTCGCGTGCGGCACTTGAAACGCGGAAGGCCTCGGTGGAAGGGCCAACTAGATTAATGTGTGACCGTCCCTGACGTTCAAGATGTTCAAGGAGTGAAGACTTTTCCAGTTCCTTCACCTCTTGAAGTTAGGACCTGTTGATGAATGAAATGATAAAACCCTACGGCTTTGCACACTGTCTACTCCTCTGGTCTCCTTTTTTGAAGGCTGCCCTTTTGCCCGCATTGAGTGTGGTGAGGAGGGACCACCGCAGCAGGCATGACTCGGTTTGACGCTTTAGATCTGATACAGATCGAATCATTCAACCTCCTTAAAAAGAGCTCTTGGTATGTCTGGAGCAGAGGAGCGCTCCAAATGGATTCCCTCTTCCAGGGGGTGCCCAGAAGGGTGGCCGGGTGGCCCCCCTTTCGAACCTCACGACCTCCCAACGACATTGGGGCTCCCAACTCCCAACATCCACAACCCAACGTGTTACGCCAAGTGACATGGCCTCGGCATCTCCGGTCATGACCTGGACGAAAGGCAAGACGCACCACGCCGTCTATAGGGGGTGTCCATTGAACTGAAGATCAATGGCAAAATCCGATTCAAGCACCTGTTCAAGCAGTCGTAACGAGTCGTAAGCTCCGAATTCTCATCAGACTAGAAAATCCTAAGTTGCACATCAATGAGCAAATCGCTCCAAGTCCAATGGCGAAATCCAAGGCGGAACCACGTTGCTGGGCACCAAAAACTTTAACCCACCTGCTAAACCACCATCCTGATCACTCCCGTCATACCCCAAAAAGCGTGTTTGTGTTTTTGGTGTGGGGGCGAACACCAGTCGATGACCGGAACCTCAAAGAAGTTGAGAACCAGAAGATCCAAGTTGAGTTCAACACAAATGTTCTGAAAAACTGGGGCCTCCTGGCCTGTCCAGAAAGACAAGAATCATGTCGTTCCATACACCACCCAATAAAATGTGTGTCACACCCATCTGAGAGGAACATGAAAGAACTTGCGGAGTCCCACCCTCCTCGCTGGATAAACGGAACAAATCAACCTGATGGGGGGTATTTGAAGGGTCTCTGGCGGATCTTCCATGCTCTTCCTGTTCCTGTTCGACACACTCACTTAGCGAAGACACTCCATGGGACTGGAAGATATGCCTAATTACATGGACCCCTTTTTCAACCACCCCCTGTAAAAAAGCGACATCACTTCCCCAAAAAGGAGGTCGTGTCGCCCAAAAAACCGGGTGTTCGGTGTTCGGGCGCCTGCTTCCGTAGGTTGGCTCCCACGAAGGTGGGCAACGGCCGGATGCACTCCGCAGCTTCAGGGTCATCCAAGGGGATGGGGCCTGGGCCTGCGTGGTGACTGCGTCGCCAACACTTCCACCTGAAGACCTAGCTAAAGAAAGAGGCAACTATACTTGGTTCTGATGAAATATCTATATATATACAGTATATATATATACTGTATATAGTCCACAACCCAGCTCCAAAAAGGCCCCCAGTTCAGACCTGAACTCAACAACTCTAAAGGAGGCCTTTTGGAGGGTCCCGTTATGTCCTGTTTCAAGAGCACAGAGAAGCATGGAGAACTTAGGGGTCTCAAATACACTCCCTGGAATATCTTTGAAGTGGAAACTCACCCCTTGGAATTTCCATGCTCCTCCAGCTGCACCGGTGGTTTTCCACTTCCATGATGATTCCAGGGTAGTGTACTACAAAAACAAACAACGTGAAACTATCAATCATCACTCCAAGGGTGGCTTTGGGCGGAAACACTGGATGACCCAGTTTGCAAATGCGTGCAGGACATGATTCACCAATCTTTGATTGGACAACTGCAAGAAATGCTCTTCCCAAATGCATTGAATCCTTGTTTTAACCGTTCTAACCCCGTTGGATGAGATGGACGTGGCAATACCTGGCACTTTCAGAGGATCCAACACAAACAAGCTTCAATGAGGGGCTCAAACACAATCACCATCCACCGTCCGCCCTGGTCAACAGAGATCCTCACCGTCGACCGACCCGCAGGTGCACAGACCTGCCGGGCCACACACCTGCCCTACCGAGCTTGGAAGGTCGTGCAGCATCGGCACCTTCCAGGTGCATGTGAATGGTCTGGAGGTTCCTGAGGTCGCGGCTCGTGGCTCGTGCCAGTCACGAGCGCGTGCTCGGCTCGTGGCGTGGTGGCTCGCCTGAAACCTTCGCATGCAACGCTACTAGGCACGGGAGAAGGGGCGCACAACCTTCCAACGAAAAGGCCTGGGAACCAGAAGCTATGATCGGGGCTCCTGGCCTTACGAACGGAGCGATCGGGCGCTACGATCGGGGCTCCTGGCGTCGCTATTTCACCTGTCCGCGACCTGGGGTGTAGCCTTTGTGTGCTTGTATACGGTCGTTCAGGTGGAGAGAACGGGAGGTCTGTGATTGGTGTTTGAACACCATGTGCAACTTCTTTAGCATGTATGGAGAAAGTATCTGTCTGTAATTGGTGTTTAATGCATTTTGTCGAGAACATCAGGGCCGGGCATGCCAGTTTACAGTCGGAATGGTGGAACACAAAATTCCACCCCCACCATGACCATGTTCATGTTCACAGCTCTCCCGAGCTCTGCTTCTACAAAACTCAAATGTCAACAACAGAATGCAAGTCGTTTTCCCCAAGTTAGTATATGTTTCTAAAAATGCAAAGTTGTAGGAAGGTATAACGATGTATAATGTAAGAAAGCCAAGACTGGCCAGAACTACATTTTGGAAGCACAGTGTCAATTGAGCTCTCTTTCAAACCAATCCAAAATCACGTCCCCTTTTTCAACCAAAAACACTCTCTTGTGCTTCTAACACTTTTGCCTAAGCTGCGCCAGTGCGATCATATGCCTGCCAGTCATGCCGCCATGCCATGAAACGAAACTAAATTGAAGCATCCGAAGCATCCAGTGGGGGACAGTAGCGGTGCGTTTTGGCGCACACATCCGGGAAAGGCAACAAACATGAAAGGTGTTTGATGTTTTTGGGGTGCATATGGGGCACCCTCCTACGCCGAATGTAATCCCGGTGCGTATAGACAGGCTTGGACAAACTCCTGCAATCCTCCTGCAGGTGGATCTTATCAACTGTTTCTCGAGGACCATCTCCAAAGAATACCTGGACCGGACCGCCCAAAGGCCCATGATCAATTACCATCTCTGGGAATATGACAAGGACACTTGGTGCTTTCAGCAACCATATGATGTTCTCTTGGCGTTTTCTTGTGCTTTCGACATTCAGAACCTGCGATCTATCCACATCCCTTCACCAAGGGCTCCGAAGCTTCTTCGCTTTGGCCACGTTGATCATCCCCTGATGTCGGCTTTTTCGACGCCGAGAAGCTCTGACATCGGCCAGTGTCTTCTTAGAAGCCCTCAACACCGCTGCCAACCAATCCAAATGTCAAAGGTGCCCACCCAAAGAATACATCCCACAGGAGAAATTCAAACGAGTCAACATCCATGAAATGGTGTTCCGAAGCCAAGACCGGTGTTTTCCTGCAATAATTGCCAAGGTACCCTGCTCACTGGCAAATTATCTGGGCAGGTCATCCCAAAGTAATTACACCTCCCTTTGCTCCCCAAACAATACTGAACTATGGCCAAATGACAAATGAAGTCATGGTGCTTCACCATCAATATCCTTCAGCATCCAAAGGTCATCCGCACCCCTCACGCCCAAAACCCCGTCACCTGCATGAGAGGCTGGGGCGTCGCCGCCCCAGCATGTATGAAGACCATGCCATCACTCTGCAAATAGGGCTCCATCGCCTCTTCCGCGCTGGAACAGACCTCACCGTCGGGACCGCTGCACGAAAAGAGCTCTGCGTCTGGAACGCTGGCGAGGACACGGCGATGCCTGGGACATCCTGAAACCATTCTGATGGGAGTCACCTGTGGCACCAGCATGTATCTACTAGCATGTGACTTTAATGAAGAGAGGGTCAGCTGCAAAAAGAAAGTCTGTGCTCTCACTGACCTGTCAAGGGTCACCATCTTTGTGCCACAAGACTGACACATTCCTCAGTGGTGCTGCAAGACCCAATGTGACTCATCTGCGTGTCCAATCTACGATGAATCCACAAGGCCAAGAAACGTGCTGGGCTTGTTTGAAAACTGGAGACCAAATCACCACGGGGGAGAGGTGTTGAAGGAGTCCCAACAAGTGTTTTAGGAGCGTTCCAAAAAGAGGGGAGAACCAAGTCCCACTTTGAGCCAGCGCAAGGAGACGTCCTGGCCCAATGGGGTAGACCGGGTAGACTGGTCTACTTTCCGAACCTTCCAGAAGGTCGAACTGCCTGGGAGGTCTCCCTATTGGAATTCACAACACTTACTGCGCTTTTCTCAAAGTGCCAGAACCAGAACCCCAGTCACAGGAGCAAAACCACTGGTCACTGGTCCCCCTCTTTTGCATAACTGACCTGATCTGTGTGTGAAACTCACACCACCGTCACCGGTAGTGAGTTCCATACACAAAAGCCTAGGACAACTCATGGCGGTTGGCCAAGAACCAGTAAGAACAAAGAATTCCAACACACCCTGCAGACCCCCACAATGGCATTTGGCCAGCTTGACCATCTTGCAGGATTTCGTGGAGGGTGATCAGTCTATCTTCTTCTGCGTCTAGGTTGCAGGCGTGTCTGCAGGGGTGGTCCAAAGCATACTGAACAACTGCCAGCTGCTCGTGGACTATGGCCATGTCGCACCGTGTTCCTGTGCATAATAAATGGTCGCTGTGGCAGAGAACGGACCTCTGTCTAGTCAACCAAAAAATGTTCTATGCTAGATCAGAGAAGACGGTGGAGGTAGGTAGAGAAGTGACTCCACTAGAGTCTCACTAGAGGAAAGAAGAACCTTCACTTTCGACTCCTGACAAACCACGGGACCTCAGAACCCCTCACGGTCCCATGTGAGCTTTCTCCGTCGAACTTCGACGACGATCAGTTCGATCCAAATGGGGAGACCTCCCAGGCAGTAAGGTTCGGAAAGTAGACCAGTCCTACCTAGCCAGGGGCGAGAAAAGAGGTCTCCCTGTGAAAAAAAAAGAGGCCCATCTAGTCGAGCATCGCTCGAACCAAGAACCGACGCGAACGCCCCTTTCGGCGTGCCAGGCCCAGGAAGTGGGGTGCCAGGCGTTTTTGCTTTCACACTGGGTACAGAAAATATCATTTAAAAAACATCCAGTAAACATCAAAACATGAGAAAGTAGGGTCATACAGCGAGAACATGCAAGAAAAGTGTCGCCACAGCGATAACTATAATTGTCATAATCGATGCCTGTCTAACCAAGGCGGCCTACACTTGACACCAACATACACCAACGATCTGTGCCATCGCATGCCCCTTGATGAGTGCAGAAAGAATTTAATCTGATTGAATAGGACCTGAGACTCTGATCTCCGACGCCTGAAATAACAGAAAAACAAATTAAATAAAGATAAAGAATCTCCAAATTCTGGACCCCCCAGTAATGTCCTTTAGCTCGACTCAGTAATTATGCCAAACGATCTTCAGACTTCGATCCTTTCTTTCAGCCCAAGAACATCACAATACTCCACCCTCGCTCCACTCATCAGGGCTTCACGGTCTTTGCCACACCCCATCCCAGTTCGACCGCCCCACCAGATTTGTTCGAGTCGAATGGAGAGCGGGCCTCTCGATGGCATAGTCTTGGAGGCTTAAGGCCACGCTGAGACTCCCAGGGCTCGAGGAGATCGCAGTGGAAAAGCGCCGCCCCAGCGACTGCACCGCGCGGCGCGTAGAACGCCGCGTCGCGGCCGCAGCGGCGCGGCAGAGCGGCATGGCGGCTGTCGTCGTGCAGAGGAGTGGCTGGAGCCGACGGTCGGCGGGGCCCAAGGATCGCTCCCAAGAGGAAGGTTTGGGACGTGGCCTGAAATCAGATAGAAATAGGAGCATGGGAATTGATCCAATGCCTGTTGAGCCTCCCAGAGTTTTCAAGGATTAGTGAAGGCTACCAGTCCAAGGCCCAAGATATGATCTGGTCCGACCGACCTCATGGAGCTCTGTTTTGGCATTTTCCCGGACCAATTATATAAATGCAGTCCCTGACCTGTAGGGCCACTGTAGGGTGGCATGAAGTGCACATGATGTGACCTGGTCACCAGGTCACCAGGGCCGTCCCCACAGCGGAGGACTCCTCCGACACCTCATCCGACGGAGTTTTGCTCAACTCGACTCCCTTCTTTTTTCGGCACCGGTCACGGACGGAACGCGCTGCGCCAGTGTCCCTACACGAGGTCACGTGGGCCGTCGGTGCAAAAGCTTTGCCACACCATGTCTTGTCGCTTGGAGCCCCAGATGCCGCGGTGAGACACCATGAAGTAGTCCGCATGCACGGTACCTCAGGCCGCTCGGGAGGAAGCTCAGGCCGCGTCCAACATTGGGAAGAAAGACCCCCCCAAGGGGAAGTCCAAGGAGTCGTGGTCTTTTTATGTGCTTTTTTTGGACCAACAAGCAATTCTATTAAGTCTAGAACCTTTCTTTTAATGGTCTTTCAAGGGTAGGGCAGGGGAGACATGGCTGTGTATAGCATCTAAAAGGGAGACCGATTGCTTGATGCGACCGTATTCCTCATTCCTCTTTCTCTTTCCATGTCTGACACGGGGTGCCCCTTTTTGTTTCAAGTACATCCACCACATGGCACATCCAGTACCTCCGCCGTCGTCTGATTTGCTCGGACATCGCCACATCACCTCACCGCTTCGACAGACCGATGGACCGAACGGGGCCCTGATCGGTGTCAGTGCGTCTCGGGAAGAGTGGAACGAAGCGGACGAAGAAACGCCGTGGATGGTGGTCACTCCAGGAGCCGTCTCATGTCTCATGCTCATTCATGTTCATTGTTTAGCAGGTAATGCCGCTTCATTTCATATGCAGATCCCTTAGATCCCACCGCCTGGACTCGAAGACCACAATTGGTCTTTTCTGGTGACAAGCACCTTCTCAGACCACCTGTGGTATTGGTTGGTCTGATGCTCCCACCCCAGTCCCAGGGTCCCAGGGTGACCGAGCGCCAAGGTGCTTAGGATCTGCTCCGACAGCAAGGCTCGCTGGGCTTCATCACCACTCTGGTAGGAAATCACCTGACTGTGAAAGAAAGCGTGTTTAGATGCAGCTTAGGCAAGACTTAGACTTAGACAAGAAGCAGAAGCAGAAGCAGAAGAAGAAGAAGAAGCAAAAATGACAAAGTCTTGGCGAGAGCAACTACCCACATCGGCAAACCGATTGAATCCCAGCAAAGGAACACTAAGACTGAGACGAGCATCGCAATTCTTTCTGAGAAAAGGAGGACTAGTAACTATATAAGGAGTAAGTTACTCGATCTTGAGCAATCGCCAATCGCCACGGGCCAAAATCAGCAAAAAGGGCTCAAGAAAAACAGAGATGATTGAACAACCAAGAAAGCACACATATATGGCTACAAGCGGCCAGCAAATGAACGGAACATCCAAATGACAATCCTGCGCAATCAACAGCATCGTTACATGTGGGGTTGTTCATGGTTGTTCATCACAAGTTGTCCGGCCAAAGGACGAGTGGTTCAACAGTAGGTTAAGCCAGAATCCTTCCCGCCTCCCACACTGGAGTCTCCAAAATGACCTCAACTTCTTCAACAGCGCATCCAAATTCCCATTACCCACCGGTCCCAACGGCGGTTCCATCTCTCTCGCCATCCTGATATAAAAATCCCCCCAAACACCTCCGTGGCCCGTCCAGTCTGCCCAAGCCAACTACAAACCCGACCCAGTTCATCCCAAGGAGTCCCAGCTTTCGGAACAAGGCGAACACCGGCCACACCGCACGCACCCGGCCAAGGGGCCACCGCCCAGCCGCAGCGCCGCACCAGGGAGGCGAGCTCCGGCCGTTCACCAGACAGGAGCCAGGCTTGGAGCGCCTGGGGCGAAGACGGAAAACCAAGAGGAATACACTAGAGACGTGAGGGGTTCCAGGAGTCCCGTGACCAGGGTAGATAGTTTGAGGTGGTACTTGAATGAAAAGATTGTTTTAATAGTTAATTGTCATGTAAATTCAGTGAAGTTATGTCAATTTAGTCGACATGATGCGTCCTCCGGTCCACATATGTGCGCTTCTTGGGAACCCGACTTTCCCCACTTCCAAACTTGAGAATTCCAAGAGTCGGTTTCCCGGATGCTACAGCGTTAGTTGCTCCTTAGTGAAACAACGATCGTTCCGTAAAGGCCAGGGATCCGAAGGGGACACCAGATCAACCGGCAGTGACGGGAAACGCCTCCTGCCGGTCACTGCCGGTCACTGGTCACTGCCTTCCTGCCGTTCACGCTTTTCCCCCCTCCCTCGCCTGCTCGTATAGGAGACCCAAGCGTCCACTCTCCTGTGCTTCGATCGATCGAACCGGGCGGGAGGCCAGATGGAGGTGGTTCCGATCGTCTTCCGAAGGCCATCCCCAAGCAGGTGGCTTCTTCACCGGTCCCCAGCATTCGTTTCCCCCCCCCGAAGTCCGGTTCAAGGGCATCTCCGGACCACGCGACATGTGGTTGAAAGACAGATCGAAACTCGAGATGTGAAGCGTGCAGATGTGAATTCAAGATCAAAGGCTCAATTAGTTTGGTGCACACATGTTAGATTATGATGATCAAGTCTCACACGTTCCTGGACGAATCGGAGAGACTCAGCGTTTGGCACGGAACAGACCCGCCTCATCGGGAGAGAGAAGGATCTCCACCGCTTCCTGGATGCTGATTGACCACGGAGTGGGCAACTATCATCAACTGACCACGGTGATTCAGACCCGGTGCAGATTGCATGTTCCTGCACGGTGCCTATGGTTTCGAGTCATGCGGACGGACCAGCCCGCTGCCCGCTGGATCTTAAGCTCTTCTGCGATTCAGACCATCCAATGTGCTCATCCTGACCTCCAGTGGAAACCACCTGAGTCAAACACTGTACATTTGAACATTGGATGGCACAAACATCCGCGCCACCGCCGCCTCCAGGGCCGCCGACCGATGCCGACCGTCGGCATCGGTCGACGGCCCGTGTGACACGCGAGAGTCTCGGGGTGGGCTATGGTGTCGATCCGCCCTTTTTGTGAGGGGGATGATTCGAATGAGCTTCTCCCCACAGAATTACAATATGTGAGTTTAGCATCGTTCTGCAAGTTGCATGTCCATCGCCCGACGTTCAAAAAGAAAGATTGTTTTGAGCATCTTCGTCACTGGGGTCAACCTCTCCACCTCTCCACTCCTCAACTCATCATCCTCCACTTGGACCGGCCTCCAACAAATGCCCATTCTGCAAAGGCTGCGCCTGAAGCGGAGCTTGGGCGGCGTTGAAACTGGACGAAGGTTGTCGGTGCAGCCGTAGAACTAGGTCTCCTTCTACATGATCTGACCAAGCTAGTAGCTTAAGTGGTGTAGTTTATTGATGACCCTGAGTCGGATCTGCTACCCATGTCAAGAGAACGGGATGGGCCACACTGCATAAGTCCACGCGTGGTGTACACGGCATCGTTTTTGGGCCTCATGAAAGCCGTAGAGCCGGAAGAGCAGGCCTGGGCGGGGGTTTTGACCCGACAGACGCACAGATCGGGACGGGTTCGAGAGCCAGGAGTCGCTCCCTGCGAGATAGAAACTGCCGGAGTAAGACTGGAGAACCCCTCATTGCAACATTCACAGTTGCAAAAATGGAATGTATCTTATGTGATCTTATGTGTGACTTGAACATAATTACTTTTACTTCCAAGGAGGGACCAGCGGCCCTGCTCGATGAAATCCAGCGAGAGCCCAAACTTCCTTGTCTGGTGCAACCACAAGAGGTCTCAACCGGCCCCATCACGGTACAAATCCGCTGGCACTCAGAAACAAAGAGGTTTGAGCCGACAATGTTGAGTGGATCCTATCGAACAAATTCCGAAGAGCGTTCTTAAAAAAAGAGCCTGGTCTGCTCTGGTTTCTCCCACCAATGTCCAACTATGTTGATCTATTTTGGTTGAGCACGCGGCTTTTTCGTGCGCTGGATGATGCAAACACACTTCACATACTCCACCAGTTCACAATTGATTGTCTTCCGAAACCTCCCAACTGCGGGTTGCTATATCAGGAATCGGAGCAAAGTAACCACCCTCCATCATCCACTTATGCCCACCCCCTCTATTCCAAAGACCGGCCCAAGACCATCCGGAGCAAGCGTTGGCCAGGACGCTGGCGGCGTCCCAAAGCCAGGCACTGCCGCGGTGCACTGCGCCGCGGTGCCCCGCGCCACTCTGCAGCGCGTGACGCAAGTCACGCTGGAAGGCGTGGTTCTGGGGGGCGTGCGAAGAGTGGGTTTCCAGTTTTGGATTGAATCCAGGCCTGAACCAATTGAATTAGTGGAAAGGGTTTTACTTCGGGTCGAAAATCCCCTATTAGCGCCAAAGGTCTGACCCAAGTGAGCGTTTAAAGTGAAAAGAGGTCAAAACAGCAGCTCTGAGACCTGAACCCAAACATCGGGGAGTCATGGGGAGCAACCGGGGGAGACCCCAAAAAGGGGGTTCATCCTAAGACCCACCTTTCAATTGATCATTAAATTGATAGTTATATAGATGGTTTCGGGTCGTCCTTGAAACATCTTGAACCACCCAACATTGTTCCCAGGTGAAAAGAGTTGGATGTGAAACGTTCATCTAACAAAAGGATGTGTACTCTGTAAGCACATCTTACGGAAGGGAGGCTCTTGGAGGCGCTTCCGATTCCAACCCAATCTAGACCTCAAAGACTGCAGCCAATGCCACCAAACGGCACTAAACACTTAGAGCAGGTGGAAGACACACCTCAAACTTGGTGTAAATATCTCGGCAAAAGCAGGGTCGATCCCAAGTTCGAGCTTCAGACCAAGTAGCTCCTTTGGGAGATCCCGGGCTCTCGCACTAAGTCGCAGGTGTTCGGACTACCCTGCAGAATCCAACCCTTCCAGGCTGAAGACCCTGTCCGGACCCGAACCCCATCCTTAAACCCGAGGTCATTTCGAGGTCATTTGGGCCCCGGTCATGAGTCTTCGCCCTTCCCCCCACCCGAGAGGCTCAGGTCCTCCATGAGGCTCTGCGCCATGCGCCGCATCACGCGAGGAGACGCCTGCGAACACCGCAGCCAACGCGCTGCACCTTCTTCTCCCTCTCCATTCAAACCCACCCTGTGGCAATTCATGACTATGCAATGCGCAAGCTTTCTGAGGTAGTTCTTGCCGGCTCTGAATGATGTTCCTTTCCTTTTGATCCTTGTGGTGATTGGTGTGATGTTGATTGGGATAATCGGTGTTTGCACCATTTTTTGTATGCTGTCTAGACCAGACCTGTTTACAGGCCTTCGCTTCAATACTTTTTTGGAAGTTTGGGAGGCAAAAGATTGTTCTTTGCCAGCACCCCCCAAGGGGTGTCTACTGTATTAGGCCTAAACAGAGGTGAGGAAGGGGGTGTCCATCAACCACCCAACGCTAGGATCTGCTTCGGCGCAAGGAGCCTCAAATTCCATCTCGTGGAATTGCCATTGCTCAATGACCATGGACATCTCATGGGCGTCATACGCGCCATCCTGGCATGAGAAATCCGCCGAACTGCACCGGTGAGTGGGGTCCTGTTTGCAGTAGCGCTCGTTTTCGGCCACCGGAAACAACCACGTATCGGTATACAAAGCATAGAAGGTACAGTATATGTTGCGGAGACCGGAGACCCTGAAAACTTAGTATTTGTATATAGTCTTTTCCTGGACCATGTTGTTTCATGTGTTTTTCCCATTGACATCCCCGCACACAAGCCTATGTTCCAGACTCTACTTGGTGGAAGGATGCACAAGAGTCAAGGTGAGTATCCAGTGTGCTGAACGCTGAACGCCTCAGATTTGGGAGAAAGCCCCAAGTAGGACAGCAAAACATAGCAAAACCCTCAGCATAATGGCATACAAGCCTGGACATCACCAGCCAGGTCCGATGTGAAGGCGCAGGTTGACTATTGATGTACCTTTCCTGAGCCCGCTACTTTCAAAACGAACAGATTGGCTCCCATGAATTTCTCTAAAACGCTTCCCATCAGGACCTGAAATCACCAAAAGTTTGCTTGTGTTCATGTTGGAAGAAGGAGAATCAGCGCCGAAGCCCTTCCCATCCCTTGCCTGCACCGTTCCCTTCCCAAGCTCTGGTCCAACTTCGGACCCTCTCCAAACAATATCTTTGGTGTTTTCCATAAACTTCCCCCCAAAAATACGAACATCGGAGCTGAACAGCTGCGACCGCAAACCGATCTCCATTTTACCCTTTTGGTACCCGCTACACTGCTACACATCCTCGGGCCCGGGGCAGTCATAATCCACCGCCACCACCACCACCCAAAAAAGGCTAGGTCAAATGTTTGTCAAACCTTCGACTCTCAGGGGGAACCACCTTCGACTCTCCTGGTCGAGTTGGTCGTCACCTGTCGCGACATGTCCGCGACCTGTCGGTGCCTCGGTGCCGATGGTCCCGAGGAAGGCATCGATGAAGTCCAAGAGCTCCTGATCGGATGGGGGTCATGAGCAGCAGAGGTTGAAGAACCCCATAGACTATCCTATAGGTACTCCTGTAGGGTCCTATTTACGGTGACTTAACCTCTGTAGGGAGGGATGAGGGACACCGATCGAGGGCAGGACAGCGGACGCAGATCGAGGACAGCGGACGAGGTGTGACGAAGGTCTTCTTGCATGGCGTACATGCAACAAAGATAGCGGTTACATCAATGGAGAACCAGTTGTACTTCTTTGCCATACCCGAGTTGGCTGTTGCTCGTTCATGCTCTGGCAAGTACTGAAATGGTTCAGGGAACAGTCCGGGAACTGTGCGAGTTTGGGGCACGGTCAACTAGATCCTTCTCTCAAGACTAAGCAACCTCCGACCACTGGGGCATTCAGAAGAAACAACGCTTTTCCGGTGCACGAAAGACTCGTGGCGTTGTGCGAAGACCGGTTGAAGATGTGTAGGTGTTCTTCCTTGCACGGGAAACCCTGCAGTTGACTCCTCTGTGGAAAAAAGAAAGACGTAGCCGCATGGCATGTGTAGCTAGCTGAACTGGCACTGCATATGAAATGAGTTCAGGACAGGTTTGCTGCTGCGCCTGGCTAAGACATGCTAAGACACCAGTAGGCGAGGCCGGAACCACGTTCCAGAAAATGATCAGCCGCCTGTTCGAGGTCGAAAAGGACGGACTCATGATTCTAAAGAAGCCATTTTTTCAATCAAGTCGCAGACACTCCATGTATGCCATATATGCCATTGATCCCCAAAACCACCCTTGGCCTGATCGGCAGTCCTATGGCAGTCCCATTAGTCGCGTCTGGGAGTCGGTTGCTTCTCACTTCATCCTTCCAGACTCCACCGCCCGATCCTCCCGGACCCTCCAGCGCCACACGGGACGGTTTTCCGCTCTCGGCTCTCCGCTTCTGGACTTCCTCTCGAACGGCTTCCGCCAAGGCTTCGTAGCTCTCAATCCGCGGCTCCAGCCTCGACACCATCGTCTGCCACCGTTCCCGCAAGAAGGCCTTGGACGCAGGGGGTTGAAGATTAGAACAGAATCAACAGAATGGGAGGAGTTCGATTCCAAGTCCCTTCATCACTTTTTGGATTTATTTGCAGCAAAAGGATCGCTGAAGGGTTGATGTTAATTGATTTTGTCTATGATGTATACATGAATATTTCCAGGGAATCCCAGTTGCACAACCATGAAACAAAGGAACCTGACGTTTCAATATATACGTTTCAAATACGTCAAGAATTCTATAGACATGTCATGACATGTCTACATGTTTTAATACAATTGTATATAGCACCACGGTGCGGGTGGTTAAAACATCTGAAAGAATGCAAAAAGACAAAAGAACGAATCCCTTGCTCACGGCAGTGTCCATGTTTCCCACCGGCGCCACCGACAAAAAATCCACCATGATCCATCCGCACCATCGGTCCCGGTCGGTCCTGTCTCGCCTGGGACGCTTCGGCGAACGCGGCGTCGCTGGAAGGCCCCGAGGGCGCTCCTCGCACCCGAGGGGCCGGGGCGAAGGAGGCCGCGCCGTCCGGCGCGCGTCCCAGGCGCTGCAGCTCCAGGTAGGTCCAGTTCCTCGCGGCTGCGGTGGGGCGCGGTCCGGCGCGGTCCAGGGGAGAACATCGGAAAAGGGAGAAAGTATGGGGTCAGGAATCCAACGAATGTTTTTTGTTGGGGGTTGGACACTTATACCTACCGTCCCGCAAAGGAAGTGCTGTTCCTTTTCAGGATGAAAAACAACTCGGTCCGGAGACAATGAAGGACACAAGGGATCGGAGTTGCTGGGCCCATCTGCTGGGCAGGTGCTGAAGAATGGTGGACAAGGTCAATGAGGAGGGTCTCTAATGGGTGAAGTCTGCGAAAGAAGCTCCTCTCCAACAAATCACCCGAATTCCGAATGTTGATGTTTATGTATTTAAAAATACCAAAATAGAATTGTTAATTGATTGTATAAACATTCTCAAAAATTCTCAAACTTCTGAGGGTTGGGATCTACTGCCGAGACTCTCATCGAATTTGCTGCTGTTGATCACCATCCCTTCGCGGCTACACTGTTGCAAGACACGATCTCGAGCTTCACTGCTCAAGCGGCTGCAGCCCAGAAAATCGCTTAGGAGGTCCAAATGTGCGGCCAGGTCGCTCTGCAGATCCTCGAAGCAAAGAACTAAGACCTGGGGAAGGTCCAAACACCGGTAGAATTCCACGTAGTACTCCCAGAGTGAAGCGCCGAAACGCATATTCTCGGCCACAAAGTCTTTATCAAAGACAAATTCTGAGACAGTTTCATAGACCCGCAATGCTGGTACATCCTTCTCGCGCAGAAAATGCTACCAGCTTCGCACAACATCTTCTGGCCGTCGCACGATACACAGGTATTTAGCCCCTCGATGGATTGAAGCAAGTCGCAAATGAGACTTGAAGAGTCTGGGATGTGCTACTTGTTCCGCCTCCAAGTCTTGTCCCAAGTCCCAGGCCAACTGATCCCACGGCACCACTTGGTAAATATCTTGAAAGTCCAAGTGCATGCCCTGACTTGGATGTTTGATTGTCCAGGAAGCCAGGAAAAAAATAGACAAATCTTCCCCAAGCCAGGGGATTGACCCATGGGAAACATCATCTTAATGAGCAACAGGATATCACGCATGGGGGAAAGAAATCATCAGAGTACCACGCGGTACCATGTACCTTATCTTAAGCAAAATCCAGGCCTGAGTTCTCACAGAGTGGCAGATCATTTGAAGGAACGTCGTCCCCGTCTTGGGCGCCGTCACGATGAACACGTCGCTGCTCCCGGGAGCCCAGGCGGCCGCAGCGCGGCACGACGCCTCAGAGAAGGCCGCATGGGGAAAGGGTTGCGCACGTGCGCCGAGCCGATCGCTCAGGCTGTCCATCGCTTGGGGCGCCAGGCGGCGGCTCAGATGGCTGCGGGATTTGGGGGACGCTGGGGGCGTTCATTGGAAAAAATGGCCTTCGCTGCTGGCGACTCGCTCTCCGTCCGCTCTCCTCCTTCAAAAGCTCTTCCTTGCAGAAGGGGCATTTCGTCCTGAGCTCATCCACCCCAATCTTCCCAGCTGAGGCATGTTGAGTTCACACGTGTTTTTTCAAAGAAAAATCACTCCGCGGAGCAGGGCGGCCTCCGCCACCGGAGGCAAAGGCGTATCCAAATGACCGGCACCATCTCTTTCCATCAGGTGACAGAAGAAAACATATAAATATAAAGCCTCCTGAGCTTTTTTCATCCATCCTTCCGTCCATCCAAATCCATCCATCCGTCCGTCCGTCCAGCCAGCCAGCCACCATCACGTCAAATTCGGACGTGGAGCACTCCTCTCGTCACTCTCGTCATTCCTCTATATATATATATAGGATTTCAAAGCCTATATATAAATTTAGCTAAAAGGAAGTTATCATGTTACATCCCCAAACGAAAAGTAACGGGTGCTTCGCTGGAACTCCGGGAATCACCTCTTAGGGCGCGTTTCTGGCGAGGCGCTGGCCATATTGCTGCCGGCACGCGCCGCACATCTGATGTTCGGAGACATCGCCCTTGGGGCTCCAGTGCTCTAAACGCTGCACGTCCGGCTGCTCCTGAGGAGAGATGCTCCGTGCGGTCGCGATGCACTTGGTGACGTTTCGTAGCTTCTTGTTCCGTTCGTAGCGATGGCCTCCAGCTGATAGCATCCTTGTTACTAGGAGCTTCTTGTTCCTAGTAGTAATGCCAGGAGATACTAGTAGCTTCTTGCTCCTAGTAGCGAGTTGAGAAGTGTTGGTGTCGGTCGGTGTTCATTTGTTCATTGAGATGATCAATGACGATGATTGAAGGGCAGGTATGGTGTACTGTGCACTACGCAGTGGAATTGAGGACTGATCTGATGACCATCATGCAAAACATCACAACACCTGCAGGAGATCAACAAAGCCAAGGAAACCAATCGATCCAATCGACCCTCAAACAACTAGTGCAGGTGAACCCACCACACCGTGTCACACCGTGCGACCACGTGTGACCTGTGACCACGTGCTCCACTGAACACGTGATCGCCATCCCATCAGTTTCTTCGGTGGGCCAGGGGCCATCAGTCTGTGATTCCCTATCAAGTCCTATACCAGGACCATCCAAGGGGTGTCCAATGGACTACCCCACACTACCTATAGGCTTCCAGACAGGGCACCCCTTGGATGGTCCTGGTATAAATGGTTCCATTCATTCACTCCTTTCGCCTATCTTTCGCCTCCTCCCGCCCGGTGCTCCTCAAAGCAGATCGGGCCTCACTCCGCAATCGCAAAGGTGTTTACAAAGGTCCGAGTGCCCTCCCGGGTCATCTGGCCATTTGTGAAGTGCATCTGCACTCACCATTCCCGAGAATGTTTCATGAAAACCATGATGGAACATGTGATTCCTCCCGGATCAATCACGCTTATGCTGGATGGACGATTTGCATGTGACTTCCACCGGGCATGGTCCCACGGCCAGGTCCCACGCGGGGGCCCCCTTTTCCCATCACGGTGACGACCCGCCGTGTCGTGGTGACCCGCCGTAGTCATTCAAGGAATGTCATGGATCTAGTGTACAGTCATTGTGGTGAGGTGGACAGATTCCAGAACACTTAGTGTGAGCAAACATGTTTGAAGTTTGAGGAAATGAAATGAACAGGATGGACAAGCTGTAAGAAGGGTTCGCTTGTTCTGGATGTTCTACATTCTGTGGATGATCTGGCCGCGACTTCTTTCCTGAGACGCCCCTGCAAGTATCCCAGTGGGGCTCCATCCGTAGTTGCTCCAGCATGGCCGGCGTACGCCTGTGTTCGTGAAGCGTTTTGGGAGCTGAAGTTCCATGTTTTGTCCTTTGTGAAGGCCAAAACAAAGGCCTGTTGCCCCAAGTATGCCCCAAGTATGCGAGTCTATGTCATTGGCTTCATGTTCAATCTACCTTGCTTCTTGCAGATTCAGCTGGTCGAATGCCATGTAAACCTACTGCAGAGCTGCGACCGCCGCAGTAAGAAGAATCCCCAGCCCACCCCAGCGGACCCTATGAATTCAGAAGCTCTCGATCCACCACTACAGAACCTCCAAAACAAAGAACAGACCATCGGCAAACGCCGAAAAGACCCCCCTCATCCTGGAGTCAGCACCTGAAAGTCGTCGCCCCACGAGCTCCGCAGGGCCCGCTATCGTCCCCGCCTTCGGAGACCCAGGCCCCCCACGGATTAGACAAGTAGACTCGACCTTTTCGGGTCGTGCGGATCGGCAACGAGGCCTCAAGACACCCAGATAGGCCAACAAGACTTCAACGCGTTCCAGCGAACTCTTCCAGGGGATCCTCTCCAGCCGCAACTCCTTCAGAGTGATGTGACGTCTGACTGTCGACTGTCGACTGGAGAAGTCGAGCTAGACACTTGGGCAGCAGGGAAATCGACGACAGCTCTGTTGCGTCAGCTGTTGTCCTTCTTTGCAAGGCAACCATACAACGGCTATCCTCATTTTGATCTCATTCCTGAACCATCCAAGTGGGTGTCCTGGCTGGAGATCCATAGTGTAGTACTGCAGGGATGTGTAACAGTCCTTTGGGCACCCAAACAGGACCATCCTCCGGTTTGTATGTCCATTGGCGTCTGTGTGAACCATTAACCATTGGCGTTTTCTCAGCTCTTTTTTCCTACACAGCATACTCCGCCTTTGTCAGCCGAAACCGTCCTCACGGAAGTGGCGATCTAAGATCCCCAGAACCTCCAAGACCGGGCCGCTCGACCAGGCAGCGGCGGCCTCTCGCAGGAGTCGCCCGGACATGGACGTCCAAGGGTTGGGCCACGAAAAACCACTGGTTGGTAGAGGAAAACCGTCTTGTCCCACCACCAATTTCAATGATCGAGACTCTGAATGCAGTTTTTCTCAGAATTCTCCTTGCACTCCGTGCCACTCGTTTTCACTTGGAGACATGGAGACAAGACTGGAGACAAGGTACTTTCAGAATTGCTGGGCCCCCCCGTGAAATGCTGGGCCATCCCAGGACTTGCCCAACGACGCTCTCGCTCCCGGTCCGACTTCAGGACTTCAGCACTTCCGACCGCTCCGAACCTGTTTTCCAGTCCGGAGCACCTCCATGTCGTGCGAGTGAAGGCCCAACCGCCCCCATAGGCTGATCGCGTCATGAAGAGTTCCATTCCAAGGATCCGAACCCCCGATGGCCGGAACCGCCCATCGATGGCTTCATGTCGTTCCAGTCCCAACTCCCCAAATCCAGCGACCCCAAAGTCCTTCGTTCTCCAGGCGCACTCGGCTCAGTCCCAGCGCTGTCCCGCGGCCGCTGGGGCGCTGTGCCACCGCCCCGCCTGCGCGACGAGGCGTGGGGCCTCGAAATGCTGCGCCAGGCGCAGCAGCAGCTCCTCGCAGGCCGCCTGCGTGTGATGGGGAGGGTCGTTGGTGATGGGAAGTCTCTTAAGGGGAGGGAACTTCGGGGCGGGGGTGAGACGGGGGTGATGGGGAGCTTCGATGCCGGAAGAGCTGGAAGAGACGGAAGAGCTGGGATGTGGGGAAGATGCAGAGTCAGAAGAAAGGGTGTTGGACTCGAGGAATCGAAAAGACATGTCAAAGAGCTGAGAAGAACAGAAAAAGGATGAATAAGGATAGGTGTCGCGCTACAGGATTCTTCCAGGGCCCCATCAGCCCAAGGAGCTTCAAATCACTTCGGAGGTCCAGCATAAGGCCGCCGTTCACCAGTGAGCTCACCGAAACACCCGGCATCGGCGGGAGAGAGGGGAGATCGGCGGTCTCTGCCAGAAAGGTTCCTCTGATTCGTAGACCTGGACCCTCCACCAAGTAGCTTCTTGTTCCTAGTAGAAATGCCATTGAGGACTAGAAAAAACGGCAAAATGATGCAAAATGACCCAAACAAATCTCCAGCTCGCGAGGTTCTGAGGGGAAAAAACGGGCTTTCCTGTGTCTATGTTTAAATTGCTTGACCTGGTGTTGTAAATCCTGGTGTTGTTTCTTTCATGTGGTCTCAAATCCATGGTTGACTTGGTGTTATAAAACAATGGTGGTTGGACGATTGCTTATGGGGGAGAGTGGCTCACAGTTCGGGATGGCTCCTCATCTTCCACAAAAAAGAGCCGTCCAACAAGCTCCACCGGCGGCGTTCGCTTCGCCAGAGAGGGAACACCGGCGTTCGCGCCTGATTCATGGGCATCGGCTGCTTGGCAATGACCGTCACATCTGCCGACCGAGTGGCGGGGTTCATGTGAAGCAGTCACCCACGGGAGTGGCCCCTTGGCGGGTGAGATCTTGGGTTTGGGAACCATGACAAAGTAAAGCCCTAGCCTTCCAAGACCACTAAAACAATGGTTGGACCTGGTTGTGTAGTCAAAAATCCTTAGTAAAACAAGTTTTTGTTCGGGATTCAGACCATTACAGATAAATCAATGGTGGGCCAGGAAGCCTAGGGAAAGGCTAGCCTAGCATCTGGCTCCACATGTTGGTTTCCTTTGGTTTCGGTGTTTCGGTGTCTTTACATGCCCTTCACGTGAACATCATGTCATATCTAGCTGGGGAGATCATGTCATGTTCCTCCAAGAAAAAAAAGGATGATATGACAAAGAACCAGCCGTTCTCGTATCCCTACTTGTCGTTTTCTCACTTCATGGAAGCTTTAACCTTCTGCAAATTCCCCCACGGTCGGCATGTTCGAAGTATACCAAGAGAGGTTTAGAGACACCATGAGCAACCAAAAGGGCTGTTCAACCTCTCTACCCTACCAGGACCATCCATAGCGGATCCTGGCTGGAGATCAACAAGTAGTGGACTGGCTCATCTTGGAGACCCTTGTTGGACCTTCTGGATGGTCCAGGTAGCTCCACGACCACCCACCCAACCAACCAACCAACCCCAACCCCAACCCCAGACCCAAACCAAACCAACCAACCAACCAGCCAACACCCATTTCAAGTCCACCGGAGTCCACCGAGTCCACCTCACCTTCAAGGTCCAAGTCCTGGAAGCACACGCCGAAGCTGGCGGGGTCCATGAACCTGGGAAGCCCCCCATCACCGCCCGCCAGCATGCTGAATGCTCTGAAAACGCCTAAGTCGCGTTCCCTTGACTGCCCCCAACCCCGGGTGAAAGGGCGCACAGGTCCAAGCTCCGCTTTCGGTGTCCATCGAGGATGGAGGTGGATGGATCCGAAGAACAGGCGGATCATGGATGCAGGGGAAGATAGGGGGAGTGACCTGGAGTGGAGGTTGTGCGAATGTCATTGACATGATGGCCCAACTGTCCTAGAAGAAGGCAGGTGTCAAATGGGTTTGAGGTCTAGCCCTCTTCTAGGCTTTGGCCAAAACCCAACCCCTTGCACCCAAGGCCTCGCCGCGGAAGAAGGTGAAAGTTCGTCTGCAAGAGATGGATGTGCAGCATGTTTCAGGTGCCTCACCTCTGCTATTTCTCATCGTTCGAACTCTCTACTGCTGTCTCATCCCTGCCACTGTCTCATCCGACGTCTCCACCCGAATTCTCAAGGAAAATGGGTGAACCTGCACCAGCCTGGAGCAGTCATTGGATCCCCCATACCGAGGCTTAAGGGACCACGGGACATCCATCCGACCCGGTGCGTTCGGATCGTTCCGAACGCGGCGTCGTTCAACGAACTCCCCCGGTCTGTCTCTTCCGCGTCTAAGGCGCCAGGCTCTTCCCAAGCGTCATCAGACAAACAGCTCCAAATGTCTAAGATCTCATCGTCAGGATCTGCAACCTCCTCGCACCAGTGCAAAGGTGCCAAAGGTGGATGGCCATTGGGTCGGACAGGCCAGGTTCACAGCCCACGGTCGGTGTTTGAGGGGAATCCTGCAGGTACATGCAGGTACACCAAGTTGATCGTCGCACGCCTTCTACTTCACTCTGCAAAAGGCTTCCATTTTGGTTTGCTTTGTGTTTGCTTCAGGCCCTGGACTAGAGGTCGTGGAATTTTCTCTCTTTCTGGTGAAACGAAGGAGTCGGTCGCTCTACGAAGGCCGTGCCTCCATAAACGAACCCCGAGATGCAGCGCTTCGTTCGAACCCACCAGATGCGCTCGCAGCGCTCACCGAAGCTCACATCTCGTCGCAAAGGACTCGACGAACCGCCGAGTCCGAGGCCGAAGGAGGCCGAAGGAGGCCGAAGGAGGCCGAAGGAGGCCGAAG